CTTGTCAGCGAAATTCTATCGCTGTTCACGAAAGTTTGGACTGAGGAGAAGGTTCCGAACTCATGGGAAGAATTAGTCGTTGTTCCGATTCACGAGAAGGACTCCCGTGACGATTGCTGCAACTACCGCGGAATCTCGTTAGTCTCCGTCGCATCCAACATCTTGGTGTCGGTTCTATTTCCCAGGCTTTCAACGACTAGAGGAGTTTTCCCGAGAGCAACAAGCCGGATTTCGTCCAAACCGCGGCTGCATCGACCAAATCTTCACGCTTCGCCAACTTCTCGAACTTCATCACATCCACTGGCGGCCAACAATCGTAGTGTTTTTGAACATTCGGGAGGTATTTGATTCAGTAGATATATCTGCGTTGTGGAACTGTTTACTGAAGAAAGGTGTACCCGACAAGTTTGTAACCATCCTGAAAGAACTTTACAGTAACACGTCGGGCAAAATCAAGGCTTACGGCACACACTCTTCTTCATTTGCTGTGACCACGGGTGTTCGCCATGGCTGCTCTATTTCACCTTTCCTCTTCAATTTCGCCATCGAAGATGTCCAAAGAGCACTGGAAGATGTCCAGAACTGTGGCGTTGAGCTCATCCCTGGAGACAAAGTCACTTACTTGGACTACGCCGATGATATCGCCTTTCTGAGGGACGACCCACAAACCGTTCATAACGCTTTCGACCGCTTAGCGATGGAGGCATCTAAGTACGGCTTATGCTTCACTCCGGAAAATGTAAAACGCTATTCCATTACTGGCAGGTGCCTGAACCCGCGCTCACCATTATTGGACATGTTCTGGAGCAACTTCCTCGCTTTACTTATCTAGGTAGTTGCATCACGGCTGGTGGCGGTGTTGGAGATGAAGTCTCACAACGGATCGCAAAAGCCCGCCTTGCGTTCATCAAACTGAGACACCTATGGCGTTGTCGTGATGTCAGTCTCAAGCTCAAGGGAAGGGTGTACCATGCTTCCGTCCGTGCAGTACTCTTGTACGGCTGTGAGATTTGGCGTTTTCGCTCGGAAGACATGAAGCGACAGTAAGTTTTCGACAATCGCTACCTACGAAGGCTTGCTCTGGTGTGGTGGCAACACCACGTAAGCGACCAGAGGTGCAAGACCGAGTGCTTGGAGTGAGTAGTACCAGTCTTCAGGAAGTTATTCTCCGACATCGGATGCGTTGGCTCGGGCACATTTTGCGCGTCAGCCTATCGCCTTCCATGTCGAGTGCTATTTGCACTCCCAGGGAGCAATTGGAAAAAGTCATTCTGTGGACAGCCAATGACGTGGAGAAGGAGCATGAAAAAGGCAACATCAAGTTTGGCGGCAATCGGACCAGTCCGTCTTCCAGGTTAGAGACCACGAGATGCTGGATCTGTGGTTCGGAACATTGGACGTCATGGCCTGTAACAGACATCAGTGGCCTCAATGTTGTTCTGCCATTTATCCCCTCTTTAATGCACACGAAAAGTCACAAAACAAAAACAAAAAATTCAACATGGCATGTGTAAAACCCAAAAATTTGTTTCCCATTTTTAATATCGCGGTTCATGTTTCTATCTTCTTCACGTTTTTCTTCTGCCATGGTTCTGATGGCAAAATGTCTGTTAACAGACATGAATACTCATTTGACAGTTAAGGGTATATATATATATATATATATATATATATATATATATATATATATATATATATATATATATATATATATATATATATGTATATACCCTTAACTGTCAAACGAGTATTCCTGGCACTCCTTACACCTATGTGCAGTGCCACAAGCTGGCACGACCGACAGAGTCTAAGACTTTCCAGCAAAGAACAACAACCGTACTCGGTCTCCTGTAACTGTCTTTAATACATGACGAAGAGTGTCTGATCAATTTAGCCGCAACCATATCGAATTTCTGCTTGCTTGCCATTCATTCTTTCTGATCTCACCATGACCAGTAACTCGTCGAGCGATGATACGTGGGTATGTGGGTACTGGAAATAAAGCCAACGCCTCGGTGGTTTTCGCTCCATATATATTGATCTTTTCGACAATATGGAAGACAATTAATGGTCTCCGTTCTGAGAGTTCGTCTTCGTTGTCCCAAAGTGTTGAACAGATCAGCAAATCCAATCAACAAAGAGCCACATCCATTGATTTGGTGGTCACAAACTCATTTTGTTTACACAACTTGGGTTTCGGCAAACTGGAGCAAGCGAGCGTTCATCTGTCGGTCAATTATCCTAAACGATGTCCTGCGCAATAGAGCTTGTCAGCATCTTTGGACCATTCGCTAACATATTGCGTTTAATGTGTTCCAAAATCCTTCTTGTTCTCTTGCAAATTATCTACTCTTCATTATCGCGTGATCAAAGGCCGCCTAAGACTACGCATGACCGATGTAAAGAACACAATGCATTATCGTCTGTTCAGTTCCGCCAACCGGAACTCTTTCAATGACCTGGTTCGTTCGATGAATTGGAATAACTTCTTTCTCTCTTCATGTCCTCAATAAGTGACAGACTTGTTTTATAGTATAATTGGCTTCTGCATCGATTCAGCAGTACCAATAAAATATGCTTACCAAACTAAACACAAATCCGATCGCAAGGCGTTGAAGACAGCACGAAGGCTTCATAAGATTTGGCAAAAATACAGGTTAACTGCTAGCTTTGCGCTGTTATTACAACAGTCCAAGCTCGTCGAAGAACCAAGGTATCAAAATGACAAAACTCTCATTCTAGAATTGTATAAAGCTCTGAACGGCCCTGGCAAAACAGCTGAGCTAGCCAAACTATTCCGTGCCCAGGGTTCGCGTTGCAGTAACGATTTCAATTTTATCACCTCGTCTGATGGAATATACTATGACGCAACAGGTGATATCTGCGAAGCTTTCAGTGCTTGTTTTATCGAATCAATGGTCAATGAACCATCAGACACACCAGCACTTATCATGTCACACAACAATGAAAGTCTATGCACAGTGGAATTCACTATAGGGAAAATCATTGGTCAAGTTTCTCGCTTATGCTCCTCAACCTGCGCAGGCCCTGATGGGATTCCCCTTGTTTAATAAAAGGCAGTGATAGTGACTTCCTTCTGCTTTTGCTCAACATCTTTACACTCACTTTTAACAACAGGGTATACCCTACTCAATAGAAAACTTCTGTCGTTATCCCGCGACGCAAAAATGCCGCTGCTTACGAGGTTAAAAACCTTCATCCGATCAATTACACACCCATCGTATTAGAATAATGGAAAGGGTAGTGAGAGATTAACTAATTGTATTCTTGAACAAGGTTAACGTCATCATCAATTCGCAACACGGCTTCATGCAAAGCCGATCCTGCGCAACATGCCAAACAGATTTTTTAAACCACACAACGGCTGCCATAGACAACGAAAATAGTGTTGTAATCCTGTTCCTGGCCATACAAAAAGGGTTTGTTAGAGTGCCTTACAACTGGTTACTAAACAAACTATGAAGGCTAAAGACATTGGAGAACCGATGTTTTCTCGGCTGTCTTCATATCTACTTGGTGGACAGCAGGTGGTGCGCATCGGCGACCATTTCTCTGGACCGAAAGTAATTACCAGTGGAGTGATTCAAGGGAATGTTCTTGGTCCGCTTCTTATTCTAGTACATATTAACGATATATTCCAGAGAATAAGATATGGTGTTACATTTATCTTTGTTGATGACATTAAACTTGTCTACTCACAACCACGTGCAAATACCCAGGAAGCCGTACGTCTCATTCAGAATGACCTATCTGCCCTTGACTCCTAGTACCAACTGTGGCAGAGGTCATTTGCTGTGGACACGTGTAATACTTTGTCGTACAAATGCCAAGTGCCGCCAAACAGTTTATTACTACAAGGCAGACATATTTCACAATGCATAACAGTTCGCGACTTGGACGTGCGATATTCAGTCACGTTTAATTTTTCTGAACATTGTGACTTTCGAATTTCGAAAACCATCGGTTACTTCTTCCACGTTTTACCTCACGAAATTTCACATATCGCTTTACAAAACAAATGTATTGCTGTGTATGAAATGCTGTTCAGTGGTCCAGTCTAATCTGCGGAAATATGACCAGCATGCTCTTGAGGTCCACAGAAGCTTCACAAAAATGTTATGTGGCTATTCCTCAAAGTTGACCTACAGAGAGCGACATGCTAAACTTGAATTTGACCCTGTTTGGCTTCGGAGAATGAAGCTGGACCTATATTTTCTTTGCAGAATCATAAACTCAAATTCACAGTCTTGATAACGGTGTTCACATATCCTTAAACAGCAGATATCCAATCTGTAACAAAGAGGTAAATGTCATAATTCCAAAATTTACCACGAGAATCCGAGGACGTTTCTTTCTAACCCATTACTCAAAGGATTGGAACATACCACTTCGTAATTTTAAGCTTGCGCTTAGTAAGCAGTTAACAGTACAAAACGTGTTCGGGACATCACAGTCCCCAGATAACGCTTCCGAAAACGGTATCGTTGGTGCCTGAATAAATTTTCGAACCACATACACAACCTTTCAGACAACAGCCCCTTTCATTTCTTTTCAATTTTTTCTCGGCCCTAACGTCTGTCATGTGATTGTGAAGAATCCTGGCTCAATGGCAGGAAAAATAATAGCAGAACGATTCTGATTACTTTGTGTTACCTAATTTCTGAACAATGTCGGCCGGTGGCCGAGTGGTATGCGCGTCTGGTTTGAAACCATAAGGTCGCCGGTTCGAATCCGCTTAGGGGCGGGCGTCCTCGCGGTATTTTCAGCCCACGCGCGACTGGTGGTGGTAGCGTGGCAGCGAAACGCCTTTACGGCGTATAGCTGATGATTTGCTTTTGTTTTGATTAATGCAATGTCGTGGCAATTTTGTAACATTATTTGAGCTGTTTCTTCTAGGGAACAGCTTCTCGCATCGTCGAGGGATTTGCAATTTATTTATTTATTGTGCATGACTGCAAACATCCTGTTTTCGTTTACAGAGCAACGTGATCACACGTGTGAATACTGTGGAAAATCGTTTTCCCGAAGGTGTCGTCTTCGGGCACACGTAGAAGCTGTTCACTTGAGTGAGTACTACATTGTTTGCACCATCAGTCAGTACTTTTTCCCAGTAACCCGCAGCATGTGTACGATATGAGTCAAATGTTGTTCGAAGTAACAACTATTTTGACTCTGGGTTTATTCCATAAGTTTATGGCTTTTGGCCAGAAGCATAGGGAACACTGGTGGTCACCAATTGCGGTCTCGTGGTCACAGACCGTTGAGTTGGAAGTCAGCTGACTAGATTATCACTATGGCGAGATGCGTATTTGCATACTACCATGTTTCCAGTCAAGTTGAACTGTCGGAGGGATTGTTACTTTGTGGCCTTTGACCCTGTCTAGCTTCTCTTGGTTTGACCTTTACTGCTGCACAGTGTGCCATAATGTCCAGTTTGATTGCGAGTAGCAGTGCAGGGTATACGACGTCGGATCACCAACCGGAGAGCGTAGCTCCATTGTTATTTTTAATATCTTTATCGGTATCTTGTGCGACTTTTTCCTGCATTGATTAAATTACTGAAGGTGTTCGAGACAATTTGCTAACTATTGATTTATGCTCCCTAAACCATACGTTAAGCGCTCTCGATGATCACGCGGTGTTTTTACCATGTTTGACCTAAGCTGCGAAGGTGCTGGTAGTCGAATGTTACTAAGCTCTTCACATTTCTCGATTTTCTGGACGAGACTTCACAACCGCACGGTAGGGTTGAATTAGGCACTCCACTCTGGTGGGCTAACGTGATGTCCCATCGAAGCCACAGTTGGCGGTGTATGCCAAAAACACCTCTAGCTATGCGTGTACATTAGTTGATCTCACCTTCCATTATACGGTCGCGACTACAGGTGTACAGAGAGTTGAATTTCTGTTCGACTTCTGGCTGGTCTTTAACAAGATCCACCGAACCGGACGGTCACTGCTAATCCTGCAACAGAGCTTAGCATTTGTGGTGTGAAAAGGGCATCGTTAAACGGATGACAACTCATGCCTACGTATCTGGTGCTGCTTGACAAACTTGTAGGCTGTCAGAGATAAGTGGTATATTGTCCACATGCTCGAAATTAGAGGCCTTCAACTGAGTGTAGCTCCGCACGTTTTATTGAGCGCAATTGTCGTAACTTTGTCAATAGAGAAGTTAACAAGGAAAGGTGGCAGGGCGCTTCCCTGTCTCACATTGTTAGAGCAAGGCGGCGACTGCTTACGATATGTCCTCACTTTGCCTGCGTACAGTGCTCTAACCTTGTTTAGGTATTTTTCGGACAAACTTTTTCTATCAAATAGTCCCAAAAGCTCATCGATCAACTGAGTCGAAGGCACCGTGGATATGGAGGAACGCGATTACACTTGATCGGACAATTTACTTCAAGTGAAGATGTGGTCAATGCAACCTCTATTTCCCCTCAGCCTAACTTGTTCTTTGTTTTGCTTATTTTCTCGAGTGCGAAATATTTTGTGGTGAGCGACGGAATCAGCCAAATTGGAGGCGATGGAGACCAGCTTGACGACTCTATGACTGCCGCACTTCGGCCTGGAGACCCACTTGTGGATCTGGACAGTAACGGAGCTGCTGCTGTCAGGTGGGACAGTTTCACTAATGTATTATGTATTCGGTTCACTAGAGAAAGTCTGCCGACTTTGAAGAGTTGAAGGATGATCAACTGGTCCAGCGGCCTTATTCAATTACAGCTGCTCCATCTAACGATCGGCTTCTGAGCGAAAAGGCGGATAAATAAGATAGTTCAGGGAGCAGGAATATCAATGGCCGGCGATAAAATTGAAAACTCTGCTCGATTAAGTTACTTTTCACAGCGGATTCGTTTTGACAGGTTGTTAATAGGCTGTCCTCACACAATTTTTTTCTGCTGCACATTTTCTGTACCGGGCTGGTTATAAAGTCAGCGACAAATGTTGTCTGCCAGAATTCGCAGTCTATTTTCAGGCTGGCAAGCAATGTTACTTTGAAAACTTTGCGATTTTCGTTGGGTTTAGTTCTAAGATGAATGTGTTGTCCAGCGTTCAGTTCTATTTACGGCATAGTGATCTGATGACCAGTTAACGCTAAGATTTTATGTTAATATGGCATGCTGGACATTCGATCAGTGATTCCGAGATTTGTTCACTCAGCGCTTAATCGACTGGAATGGTCTTTGTTACACGTCCAGGACACCTCACTAGGCCTAGAAAGTTGCTGAATGTCTATGTGTTCAGCTTCGTCGCAGTCATCCGCCGAAATGCACTCGCAGATGAGCATGTACGAGTGAATTATCCTAGTCCACGCTTTTACTCTAAATCGGTCAACAGTTTTGGACGCGGCCTCTCTAACGGGAACTAATCGCTGTGTGATTGGTTTATATGCGTGACTGGTCCGAAGTTGCTAGGCATCTTGTCATCTTATTATGGGTGCTGTTTCAAATATTAATGCTCTTGATAAGTAGACGAAGCTCTTCCCACGGGTTTAGCGGCTGCTCACCGTTATGCTTTCGGATGGCTGCCCCGTGCTTGTCACCCAGATGCAGCTTATCAGCGGACATTCTTTCAACTTTGGCCTTTTTATCACTACCAGACACTACAGTACCCGGCAGTTGTCGATAAGGAAGCAGCGCGTTTAGTTGGATATAGAAGGCAATTTTTGTAGGATTAGTGCAAAAGCGTTTGTGGACGTTTGCAGCAATCAGAGACAATCATCTTTTGACCTCGCGCAGCTTAGAACGGGCCCTCCAGTCTGACGGCGTACATCGGGCTACTGACTGGGACCCTGGTGTACTTAAGTAGCTTCAGCGCCAGGGACTTAGAGCCATTTACACGGATTTGACTAGCTTGCGAAGCTGCATCATCTCCTATTGCACGCTTGAAAAAGCACCGCCGGTGTGACGTAATGAGGATCGTAGATTGAATGCAGCGCTAGAATACTTCAGACAGGTTATCGCAGCGAGACTGAATCTTAACGCGGTGCGACGGTTCGCGTACCTCTGACCCATTGAGCTATACTGGGTGATGCCCCCGAGTCCTTTGAGAGCTACTTCTACCAGCTTTGCCAATGATTATGGGTCAGAAAACCTCAGTCTCCTGGTTGGGAGTTGGAAATGGGATAGCGTCTATTACTATATAACGAAATCATTGTCACCTCGCCGCCGTCTTGCGAGGAGGTTTCTGAGCCAAATGCTTTGATTGAGAACTTTTATCCTGGCGGGATCTCAGCCCACATACAACCATGGCGATTTTCTTTAACTTTAATTATATCCTTTAACTATATCCTGCATCGGCCGTCGCGGAGATTATCAGGGGTCGCCTTATCTGCTGCATACAGTCAGGATTTCAAGGACGAAACTAGCGTCCTGTTTCATGTGGCGATAAGCAAGTCCAGGGCCCCGGCACTTCGACGTTGAAGCTTCTTCACTTCTGCAGCGACAAAAAGAGAGTAATGGAAACCTCTCCTAACTTCATAAAACTATTGGTGACAACCTGTTGACCACGGGATATTCGGTGCTAGTTGGAATCCACTAATCCAAGTGCAATTCCGGAAATGCGTGGACCAAACCATATCTATGCCTCTTTTAAACGCTTCTATAGTATTCCATTCCACTAATACGGCAGAATGAAATTTCATCTGCGTACTACGTGGTTAGCGAAATATTTCGCCGAGATATCCAGTCTGGACCTCTGTTTCATGAGCTTCGGATAGTGTCATTCCAACTGGTCCGACGTAGCTAATTCAAAGAGATCGGTAGGTTTAATGCCGCTGAGATTATTCATAATCTTAAACATTTCTACCAACTCTTCCCTTAGTCTTCGTCTTTCTAATGAGAACAAGCCTAAACAATCCAGGCGATCAACCTACATCTTTTCACACTGGCCTTCCGTCGTTCTATTGGTCAGTCTTTGTATCTTTTCTAAGCAAGCGACATCCCTTCGATGGTAAGGTATCTAAGTCTGAACACAGTACTCGAAGTGCGGTCTAACCACTACTTTGTATAAAGAGAAAAAGACCAGATTTAGTATTACACAACGCTCTCCTAAAACGAAAAATTTCTTGCCGCACTCTTTTAGTAGCATTTTGGCACTACTCCGAACTTCTAAAGCTATCCAATATAACGATGCCCAAGTCCCTCGCCTTGTCTATACATTGCAATGTCAGAGACCCAGTGAATGCTTATACCGTAATCCCAACATTACTTGATGGTAACAGTTGACAGTTGTTCGCTTTCGATGGCAAGACCCGTGATTCAGACCACTTGGATACAGTGCCCAGATTTCTCGACGTGTCCCTATTTTTCCTACTGACAAGCTTTACATCATCCGCAAAAACGAAACAAGGGTTCTTAAAGAGTGAAGCTAGATCGTCTGTAAATATAACGAACAACAACAGCCTTAGCAGTGAACCCTAGGGGACCTCGTTATGAGCAGTACACCTGCTAGGTATGGCCTCACCAATTCTGACATTGAACTTTCTTCCACGGAGGAAATCCGACCCACTGAACAATGCCTCTTACACCCATCCCTACCTCGCTTCTAACCTTCTTTCTATCAATCCCAGCTAAATTGACAGCGGCCATATTAACACTAGAGTCGAACCAATGGTAGCTACTTTTCCGTATCAATTACTGGACACCTATCGGCAACTGTCCCTTTTAAGGTCACGCTGTCCCGCTTCCCTGTCGGCATTCGACGTTCGCACTTTAAGATAACTAGGTCAGCATTCTGCACTCGACCGCACGTTGGACACACTGTGTGTCGGAAACTACGATGACTGATCCTCATGGCGTTGTTGAAATAACTGAGACTGGCTTATTCTGTCGCTGTTGGTTACACGTGTTTGGAGATGCTGATGCGGCAGCCTCTGGCTGGGGTAGGTTATCAAGGTGTGGAGTTAGATCAAGTGTAAGACGAATATGGCTGGACCCACTTACGCCGCGGATTTTTGAATCACTATGTGCCGGATACTACTTTTGCTTCGGATTACCGTGTTATAAGTGTTCTTTCTGTGTGAATCGTGCACCAATATTCTTTTTTGGTGTATCCTCCAATTTGTGCAAATTTGGTAGATATCCTTAGACTAATTTCGAAATCTCATTGGTTGGCCCGACTCCCATCGGTGTCCGACATCTTGGATTTGCTATCTGGTAATGCCGTCTTAAGCTACTTGTACTTCGTGTTTGAAAGTTGTCGGACATAAGGTTCTTGTACTTCGGTGCTTCGGTTGCGATGTTTTGTTCCATGTTTATTTCATCGGCTTATCCGTTGACATATTTCGAAAATCTCGACATCCGACATCAGTTTTTCCAAGTTAAATGTTATAAATGTTGGGGTACAAGACATCAGAATGCACAACGATCGCCAATAACTACGGGAAAACTCTCTTTCAGGCAGAAACAAACCGTTCACTACGTGGGTCAAACACCCTCGTGAAAGTATTTCTGTCACCTCATCTTCATTTGGCACTCCGCGATCTGCATCATCACCAGCGTATTTGGTCCTGGCCGTGTCTTAAGTTCAATGTTTCCCATCGATTGAAGACTCAGACTCGGAACCTCCCAAATGCCGCTTCACTGATCGGTCCGTGAATTTCTCAAAGCCAGTCTGAACCTCTGAACACTGATGGTCTATGAACCACTCCAAAGCGCAAAGGCCCACGTAATCGAGTTCAGACGTTCTCTGCTGATAACCAACAACCCAAACCGATAAGTGCCATTAGTCCTGCTTTCACAGGTTCATCACCGATTTCGCTGAGCCGTCATAATCTCATGGTCTTCCACCTAGCAGAGCCAAAAAATGAAAACCCTCAGATACCTTATGATCATGATGTTCAGTTCCTCCAGGGTCTCATGGATAGACTCTTGGTTATGGGTGAAGACAGTGTGCTGATTAAACAAGTAATCCTACTTGGCCCGAAAATTAACCAGTCATGTCGTCCTTTGAGAATCACCTTTGTAAATCACTGTATGCCGGAATATGCCGGCGAGCATCGATAACTTCCGAAGACTGTGAAGAGACCCAATATCCATGTTGACTATTAGACTTCCTACATGAGGATTTGCCTGTTGCTAGTAAGGCCTGGTGAACATGCGACCAATGAGCGCTTACTCAACTCACATGTCAGCGTACTTTGATCGGCATTCAGAACAGCTGGCTTCTTCAGTTGACTGATGTCAGTGCGCTCACTGCGTCGTCTTGGGCGTCCGCCAAAACGCATCCGCATGTCAGCATACACAAGTGCATGGTCAGTGTCCACACATGTCCTCCAAATCGATCAACAGTTCTGGACGCAGCCTCTCCAGCAGTAACTGATTGCAATGTCATCGATTTGTGTCCAATGCTGCTTCGAGGCTGGTGGGCGCCAAGTCCACCCTCCGGCGAGTGCTGTGTCGAAGTTAGTACTCGCGAGAAATAAGCTTGCATCTTCGCACAAATGAAGTAACCGCTCACCGTTATCATTACCGGAGCCTACACCGTACTGACCGCCCAGATGCATTTCATCAGTGGACAACTTTCCAACTTGAGCGTTCAGATCCCCAGCCAGCACAACGATGTCCGAGCTTCTTCTGTGGCGAAGGAACTGGGTCATTTGGCGGTAAAAGTCGTTCTTTACCGAATCATCGCTACAGTTTGTTGGCGCTAGACAACAATGATGAATAGACACCTGTTAGTCCCGTACGGCTTCGAAGCTTTGAACGAGCCAGCCAATCGGACCCCACGCATCCGACTACGGATTGGAATCCAATCAACTAGAGCAGCTTCAGTTCCGAGACTCAGGACAATGCCAACACCAGCTTGGCCGGTGCTCAAAGCTGCATCGTCACCAGATAAGCCCAATGAGAAAATTCTACTGGTGTCACCTGAAGGGGATCGCAGAGTGAGCACAGAGCTCGAGTCTTGCAGGCGGGTCTCCGATAAGCAACAGATATCGAGCGCGTGGGTCTCTAATGTTTGGGCAAGTGCTGCCTGTTGACCGATCTGTAGCAATGTGCGTACATTGAGGCATGCCAATCTGAAGGAGGATCGAGGGCTCCGAATGGGAGCCGATGAACTGGAGTGGCCCGCTTGTTTACACATGGGCTTGTCGACAGGACAGGAGTGACGCTCCGCGTTAGTATGTGAGTAGAAGCTAGAAGATAAGCGCCTATCAAAGCAACATGGGGGAGGATCAAGAATCGGGGCGTTGCAAACTGATGTCGTTCCATGGATAGCTCACTCTTCTTTTTATGCATTCTACGTCATGAGTTCAGAGCATCTTTGTTGCTAGAAGCTACCTCGCACATTCCTCTTCGTTTTGCACACCACCCATCAAGTACTAAGTAAGGAATCCGTCCCTTATTCCACGTGACGAAAACACTAAATCCTTGTTTATCGTTACGACCTGCGCGTACCGCAGCAGGTGTACATCATTTCAACAGCATATTTGCTATTATGTGCCCTTCTCTCCATGTGACTCATTTGTGCTTGCTTGCTTTCTCCCTTTCAATCCAGAACAACGCAAGTATACCTGCAAGCGCTGTGGTAAATCGTTTCCCCTGAATGGCGCTTTGCAGAGGCACATCTTTTCTATACATTTGGGTAAGCGTTTACCTGAAGGCACCACTTATTTTTTTTAATTTCACCAATTGTGTCGCGCCATGTTTGATTGTTGGACTTGATCTCATTTGAATCAGCATTTTTTAACCGTGAAACTAGATGTTACTGCGCAAAGGTTCTCATACCAATTAGTTCCAAGTGAAATGATTGAGCGTCGTATATCCTTTGGGTTTTCTGTCTAACGGCTAGTGAGACGGTCGTGTATGCAGAATCAGTTTCATTTATTTCTTTAGCAATCGGTCTGCCCCTCCTTTAATTCAGCTGAATCCACTCACACCTCTGCTTCCCGCTAACTCGCAGACGATTTCTTGAAAAATTTAATCTAAACCAATCAGGTAAATCCACAAATACCAGACATCTGAAGTATAATTACATATTGTACGGGGATTTACAGTTTTACTGCATCTCTCTGGTAGAGGAATTCGATAAACGTTCGGACAACGCCCCTTGGAAGAGATGGCTACCATCAGTGCGTATGTTGGATGCAGGATTTGAAATTATTATCTACATTGAGGTTAACAATTTCTTAGAAGGCCCCAACATTGAGATGGATGTTTCATTTACCTGGATATTACTTTGTAACCGTTCTTTAATAGGCCAGAGATCACTGAATTTCAGTAAGTCTAATGTGGTAACGCATTTCCATTCAAAGTGGTACGGAAGAATACTTGTGGCAAGTAGCATGGAGTGTCCCACTTCAGTAAGTATTTCGTTCACGTGAAAGAAATACTTCGGCTTAGTGTCACTTTCATGTATTTCACTGACGTGGGAAACTTAACTCTTTCACCATCGAGGGAAATTTGTGGGACTTCGCCAGGAGACTGGCTCTTAGCATGGCGCGATTGTTTGTGTGCCTCAACGCCGCATTTAACTGGCCTCGATCGTGCTTTTGCACCTACAGAGCCACTCATATTAGATTGGTCAATGGTTAGAGGTCAGCCAATCTCAGTCTCCTGGCTCATCAGATTGGCACTTATATTAAGGGTGCTCCCTTACTGCATAAAATGAACCTTCTGCAACCCACGTCCAAAACCCCGTTGCCTTGCGGTCATCATCATCATACACGTTAGCTAGAGGTGGGAAACACCTCAGCTACTGTGCCGCAATACTTAGAAGAAACGGGGAAAAAAGCAACTGGTGCAAGCTGGCTGAGCTACCGGTAACGGATGGGCATCGTTCCGGTAAGCTACCAGCCGGCTGCTGTGCACCCAAAAAAAATTATTATGCAAAATTACATAAGGTTAAATAATGAGACCGTGGTTGGAGGGGGAGGCTAAGAGAGATGAATGGGGTGGGACAAAGAAACTCACAGCACGAACGCCACTGAGGTCGGCTCCTAGCCATATCAGCAAGTGTGTCCAACCAAACGTGTTCATTGTCTTTCGGACCCCAACCAGGGAGCCGAGACGCTCCAAATGAGGCCAGCTCAGAAGTGAGCGCCTTCATTCCTTTGGACCAAATCATCGCTTGGCCACCCCTCCTCTTCTTCCATCCACACCCCCGGCGCGCAAACAACACACGTCGCGGAAGTCGGTGGGCTGGCATGCGTAACACGTGGCCGAGCCATCGGAGCCTGATGCGTAAAATAACGGTGCTGAGCGGTTCATTTCCTTTTCCTGTGCCATAAACAAGGCGTCGAACACGTTCGTTGCTCACGCGGTGTTCCCACCAAATGTGAGCTAAATTACGAAGGCACCTGTGGTCGAACGTAACTAGCCTCTTCAGGTCCGCTGCTTTAAGCGGCCAGGTTTCACAACCGTACAATAGGATCGAACGTACTGCTGCATTGTACACTCTACCCTTCAGTGCAAGAGTGATGTCGCGCCGGCGCCGTAAGTGGCGAAGGTTAGCAAAAGCGCCCCGAGCTTTTGCTATACGATTCGTGATTTCATCTTCAATCCCACGGGCGCTGATACAACTTCCCAGGTAGTTGAATTTTTGAACGACTTCTAGCTGATCCCCACCAAGGGTCAGCGTAGGAGGCGGTCCAGACCAATCTTGGAGAAACGCTTTGCACTTCGAGGGTGCGAAGCAAAGCCCGAAGTGACGGACAGCTAGTGCTAATCTGTCCAGTGCCGCTTGGCACGTTTGTGAGCTGTCACAGATGGGGGCAATATCATCAGCATACTCTAAATCAAGAAGTCGTTCTCCTGGGAGTAGCTCCACACCTTCTAAGTCGTGTCTTGTAAATGCGATTTCCATGACTTCGTCAACAGCGAAGTTGAAGAGGAAAGGTGACAGCGGGCATCCTTGTCTCACTGCGCTGGAGATATTAAAGGGCGGCGACAACTTGCCGTAAGTCCTCACTCTCCCCGAGCTACGAGCACATAATGCTCGGATAATATTCACATATTTCTCAGGTACACCTTTCCTGAGTAGACAGTCCCAAAGTCAAGCTTTTAAATCCATTATTTTTGTTGAGAAGCCTAACCGTCCTCTGCGTAGGCCTGAGCAACCTAACGATATCTTGCCCACGCATTACTATATACTTCTCTTTAAGCAATTTATTGATAGTCTGGCTGTTGCACAAGATAATTAAAAACGCCCTTTTCGCTCTATCGAGCAGGGTGGGTCGTTTCCTTATCCTCTATTTTTGCACCTTTTCAGCATTATCCTCTCGCTCCAACTTCACTTCTATACCCCCCCCCCCAAAATCCCGGCCATCAAACATCTTGCTTCAATAGACACTTGATTTCCGGTCCTTATTCTCCTTCTTGCGCTTTTCCATCCTGCCGCTTCTTTCCAATGTGACTTTCATTCCCCTGTTTTCAACCGCACACTTTTGACAAACACTCATCTTGATTCAATGGATACTAGGGTTCCACACCTTTTACTAGACAACGGAATCCATAACGGAATCAAGCTTCTCCTTAAGAATATTCAACTGAATCCACAAGCACATCAAGTTGAATCTAAAGTGGCATCATCATCATCATCATACACGTTAGCTAGAGGTGGGGAACACCTCAGCTACTGTGCCGCAATACACAGAGAAAGAAGAGAAAAAAAGAATTCAACTGGGGCAAGCCGGCTGAGCTACCGGTAACGGATGGGCATCGTTCCGGCAAGTTACCAGCCGGCTGCTGTGCACCCAAAAAAAATTATTATGCAAAATTACATAAGGTTAAATAGTGAGACCGTGGTTGGAGGGGGAGACTAAGAGAGATGAATGGGGTGGGACAAAGAAACTCACAGCACGAACGCCACTGAGGTCGGCTCCTAGCCATATCAGCAAGTGTGTCCAACCAAACGTGTTCATTGTCTTTCGGACCCCAACCAGGGAGCCGAGACGCTCCAAATGAGGCCAGCTCAGAAGTGAGCGCCTTCATTCCTTTGGACCAAGTCATCGCTTGGCCACCCCTCCTCTTCTTCCATCCACACCCCCGGCGCGCAAACAACACACGTCGCGGAAGTCGGTGGGCTGGCATGCGTAACACGTGGCCGAGCCATCGGAGCCTGATGCGTAAAATAACGGTGCTGAGCGGTTCATTTCCTTTTCCTGTGCCATAAACAAGGCGTCGAACACGCTCGTTGCTTACGCGGTGTTCCCACCAAATGTGAGCTAATTACGAAGGCACCGGTGGTCGTAAGTGGCGCACACGCACAAGTGCGTGTCCATCGTCTTGACCAGTTGCAAATCAGTGCAAGAGTATTCAGAACATCTGCATCGGTTGGTGCAGCGGTTAGACTGCGCTCAGCCAAAAAACCGCGTGATGCACACGCGGACGTGAAAACAACACATGGGCTCATTCCCTGTAGGATGCGGTGCGGACTAGCACGCGGCATCTATGGACGGTTGAGGAAGTACTGTAACGCCCACCCACTCATTTATGCGGCATCAGGACACACGACACAGAACTGGGGGGGGCGGAGATATTCCATCCGCGTTCATAGTGCTCACTGTTGCGCATAGACGACCGGACCTGAAATGTGCTCCACAATGAGACAGTATCGATTGCCTTCACTGCTGCATGCAAGCTTACAGACAAGTCCGTTAACATCAGCTGGTTTGACCTATGCTTAGCGGTGTCTACGTGTAATCGATTGTGCGTAATATTGCCTAGGTGAAATAATGCGTGCGGTGCTTCACTACGCGTTATCGTGGAACAATGCGTTAGTAATCGGTGGGTGTGGCCGAAGTACCTATTAACTGTAGTTGATCGACCTTACTGTTGAAGTTAGCGTCAGCATCTGCACAGCAATGCATGATGTACTGCAGTGAGCTTTGCGGAAGTGTATCGCGTAAATGGTGATAACGTACCGGGTTGGCAACAGCTTGCATTTACTGGTCTATATGCAATCGTTAGTATGATACAGCCGTTGACATGGTGAACGAATACGTTTGTAAAGAAGTGTCATGAGTTCGTGTGAAACGAAGATGAAACGATGATCTATGGTAACGTTAGCGTACTCCTCACCAAGGTGCCAAAATGCGACGCACTGGGTATGGTGAAATGCTGTTCGATCGAAGAGATTAACCTAGGGAGTGGCCGAAGCTTAAGATGGTTGAAACAACCGACATTGCGCCGTAGATTGTTTTAGCTCGGGTTTCAGTCAGAAGTAGGCACTCCAGAACTTGGTGTTATCAAAAAATTGTCAATGTCTAATATTTTGTACTTAATACTGGCAAACTCCAGTAAATGGTCAAAAGTTGTTGGTATCAAGTGGATGACACATTTTGAACATAAACGTGGATAAGAAAAGCTAGTTTTTGAGGCATCTGAAATCGCTCACCATGGAGTTGCACATCGCCATTCCTTGAGTGCGCTGTTTGCAAGAATGATTAGCTTGCAAACCGATAGGTCGTCAACCGGCGGATACAGATGGGACACAGCACTACAATTCCGATCTCTGTGTTTCACAGAGATAAGGCAATGTGCACAGAGAAGGAAGTTGGGAACGCCGCTTGCAAGTAGACAGCAATGTAAGTGTTGAATAGTGGACACCCGTAACCGGTAGTGAAACACACGTTTCACAATATGGTAAAACCACATGGAAAATATACGGTGCAATGCATTGGGACGATTTAGGTAGAGGGAAGTTCCTTTTCCTTTCCGACGGCACTAACCAAAGAATAAAACTCGAGATCTGTTCAACAATGGTGTATCTGAAAGACACACTTCTCGTAGATAAGATGACTAACTGCGTTCACAAATGTATTCACAATAACTGTGAATATGTGTGTATAGGAGATACCGCGAGCAAACTGCACACAACGCTGCTGGAACACCTGAGGCGCAAGTCATGCCGAAGTCTAAGTACAATGCTCTACTGTGAGATTCAGCGGTGGCGACGAACGTGTTAGGTACGATGCATGTAAGGTGGC